GCCAAGGTTCACAACTGTGGTTGGTATTAGAAGACCTGCATTCCATTCCTGGCCCTCAAGCATCCTCTCAGTTTCAGGCCCTCAAGTCCCAGTTTCTCCATATGCAAAATGGACAGAATGCATTCCATCTTTGTAGAGTTACTATGAGGATTAAATAAAATGATATAAAATATAAAGGACCCAGTGTGACATCTGGCACACAGCATGTACTTAAGAAATAGTAACTGCTGGCCAGGTGCAGTGGCTCACGCCTGTAATCTCAACACTTTGGGAGGCCAAGGTGGGCAGATTACCTGAGGTCAGGAGTTCAAGACCAGCCTGGCTAACATGGTGAAAACCCGTCTCTACTAAAAAAAAATAAAAATTAGCTGGGCATGGTGGTGGGCACCTGTAATCCCAGATACTCAGGAGGCTGAAGCAGGAGAATTGTTTGCATCTGGGAGGCGGAGGGTGCAGGGAGCCGAGAATGCACCACTGTACTCCAGCCTGGGCGATAAAGCAAGACTCCATCTCCAAAAAAAGAAAAAGAAATAGTAGCTGCTTTTACTGGTAAAGGGAGACAAACGCCCTGTTCTCTGGAGCTCACAAGGCTTGCAGTGAGGTCAGCAGGATGAGCTACAGAGAATGAATCCTCAGGAAACACATGTGTGTAGACCCTAGTGCTTGGTGCTATGAGGAAGGCAAATGTTATTGCTTTGACCTTTTAGCTTAAATCAAATTTGTTGGAAAACCTATCGAAGCCTCTCTGAATAAATGGTATCATAACCGTTGTGGCCCAGGAGCTTAGAGGTGCCAGTAGGAACCAGCTGTGGTTCCTGCTGCACATTAAAAATGGATATAGGTTACTTTCTATCTTCCTAGACATATTAAGGGAATGAGCTATTGTTAAGATAAGATTCCAATGCAAAGTTCATGCCTTATCAATGGAGGCGCTACATGCGAGATTATAAAACTCTGGTTTCTGCAGTGGTCTCCCAGACAAGTTCCCAGGGGACTAAAACCAAGTCTACCAATCCCTTCTCTGTAATCGTAGATTCCCTAAATCCTCTGAAAAGCAAGAGTAAATTCAAAAGTCATTTGGCAGTAAAAGCTGACCTGAGCTGACATGGGAGCAATGTGGTCCTCATTATCCCTCTTAGCAGGAAAATCCACGTGTTCTTGCAGAAACATGAATTTGTCTCATTACAGTGCAGTCCCAGACTCAGGGGTACATGTCACATATTGACATAAATGCACAAAATTACCTTATTACCTTTCTAAAATTTGGAAGAAAAAAAAACCTCTTAGGCCGGGCACTATGGCTCACGCCTGTAATCCCAGCACTTTGAGACCGAGGCAGGTGGAGCACCTGAGTTTGGGAGTTTGAGACCAGCCTGACCAACATGGAGAAACCCCATCTCTACTAAAAACACAAAATTAGCCAGGCGTGGTGGCGCATGCCTGTAATCCCAGCTACTCGGGAGGCTGAGGCAGGAGAATTGCTTGAACCCGGGAGGTGGAGGTTGCAGTGAACCGAGATTGCACCACTGCACTCCAGCATGGGCAACAAGAGTGAAACTCCATCTCAAAAAAAACAAAACAAACTCTTAATTCACATCTGACCCAAAGGTTTTGACTCAGGGATTATGAATCTATATTTTTAAACCAATGTTTCCCATACTTTAGATGCCTAAGAATGATCTGGAAATCTTGTCATAATAGAGATTCTAAAGCCCTCTACAGAATTTCTGATTCAGTCAGTACAAATCAGAATTAGAGTAGGGCCTAACATTCTGTATTCTTAATAATCTCCCAGTGATGCTGCTGGTCCAGGGACCACACTTTGAGTAGCAAGAGTTTAGGCAGTCCAGTTTGGCACCAGGAGCCTGTCAGCTGCCTCAGCACGAAGTCCCAGCCTGACACTTGCTACGCTCCTGATTTGTGCTGGGACACGACAGTTGGGCTGGGATCTGAATCCCCCACAGGCTGTTCTGTAAGAGATTCTGCTGGGTAGTAGAAAATATGGAAGTTTAGTCAGAGTCTTTAGTTGTTAACAGACGGAAACTTTTTCCAGTCTCCACTCTGGATATTTGGTTAACACCATGTACCCAACTCACAAATGCTTTAAGAAGTTACAAAGGTGTATTTATTTGTAACAGTGAACATAAACCCCAACCAGAAGTCAGACATATTTGACCTGTAGCTTCTGCCAGCAGCAAATGAATTTTAAGACTATGGCTGTAAGCGTTTTAAAATTGGGAGAGTTCACACCAAAGCCCAGATTTCTAGATCGCCTTAGAAAACAAACAGAACGGTTAGCAATCCTGGGAGCACATTTCCAGCTTATTTATTTGTGAAGTGAGAATATTCTCCAGTTGTTTAAGATGCTAAGAAAGTGTGTCTGGGTGGCAAGGTTCAATACCATGCTGAGTTTACTCACTTGTCCAACCTGACTGGTGCCTCACACATCTGAGTGTGCAACCCCTGACCTGGAGGCTGACAGCCTTGCTTAAGGGGGATAAATGATTAAACCCTTCTAAAGGGACTAGGAGTCCTGGTTTCCTGGTGTCTGGTTGCAGTTGTTACCTACCGCTCAGGCAGAGGAGGCCTGGAGCAGGATGAGATCAGAAAAAAAATGCAGACGGAAGTCAAGAGATGTGGACCCCTGCTGTGTATAAATCTGTGCAAAGTCACAAGACTCCAAACCTCAGTTTCCTTATCTATAAAATGGGGACATACCTTATGATAATAAATTCTGATAATGCAAATCAAAGCATTTTAAAACTAGGGGTGCCAGAAGAAGGCATGTTAATATTCTTTTTAAAATCCCATTAAAGGCAATATTTTTAAATTTTTAATGTAATAAATCAGTGAAGGAGTTTTAGGCTTGGAGAAGAGAAAGACTATATATGATCTAGACAAGAGGTCCATAAACTATGGCTTGTGGGTCAAATCTGGCCCACCACTAGTTTTGTTTTGTTTTTTTGAGAC